CCTCCCCCCCCCCCCCCCCCCCCCAGAGGAGGGAAGCCCCAGCATATGCCTCCCACTGGGACTCCTCCTCACTCCCCTGCAGAGGAGGGAAGCCCCAGCACCTGCCTCCCACTGTGACTCCTTCCCCCTCCCTCGCAGAGGAGGGAAGCTCCGGGGCGCGCGCCTCCTCTGGGGACTCCTAACTCCTCTCCCCTCCCCCTCCAGAGGAGGGAAGCCCCGGCGTGCCTCTTCCCCGGGACTTCTACCTCCTCCTCCCACGCAGCAAGTCCCTGGCGTGCCTCAGACCTGAAGGAGGGGAGCAGGCAGCGCACTTCCGGAAACCCCAGAAGTGGCGCACAGCTGCCGGACTTCCGTCCACCCCGCGGGAAGCCGGCACTACCTCCATTGTCGCTGGAGGTAGGTAGTGGGGCTTCTTGGGGGTGGGGGGAATTGGGGGGCCCCGAAAGCCTCACGATCGACTGGTTGAGCCCTCACGATCGACTGATTGAGCCCTCCCAATCGACCAGTGGATCGCGATCAACGGGTTGGTGAGCACGGCTATACAGAGTGCTGTAGCAGGCTTGGTTCATTAGAATGTCTGTGTTTTAATATTTTGGCATGCAGACAACATTTTCTTGAGGAATAGAAGTGAGGGAAGGGAAATTATTTTAACTATTTATAACTTTGCTGAATCTGAGAGTAATTTCATGGGATTACGGGCACTTTATTTGAAGGCTTTCTGGTTGCCAAATTGCCAAGCCTACTGTGAACAGTGTAGGTGTTACAAACTTCGGGGTGGGGAGGAGGGTGTTATAAGAATTGGATATACTGGAAAGCCTAAGTCTAAATATAGATTACCATAATTTCCCTCTGTAATAGTATATGACATTATGTATTTTTACACATTTCTCTTTTTGTTTAACTTTGAGTAGCACTAAGTTTTTCATCATATAATCTCCCCTTTTTAAATACTTTGAATGGACTTGTTTTGGTATTTGTAAGAATTAACTATTTTCCTTGACCCAACATTGTGAACATAGGTCAGAAAGGGTAGGGATAAAATGAGAAGTGTCAAAAGTCAAGCAGACCAGGGCCTTATAAAGAAAACTAAGACCAATAGTGAGAGGCTATTTTAACCATATACAAATAAAAAGAAAAGAAAAGGAAGTGGGATTGATAAGCCTTGAGGACAGGGTGAAGATTAAAAAATAAGTATGACAGAATACCTAAACAAATACTTTGCCTCAGTTTTTAATAAGAATGAGGCACTTGATGGCAATGCTACAGTTGCTGGTGTGAACAAGGATATTACCACATTATAGGTCGAAGCCAAACTCAAAACAGTTTAGTGAGATCAAATTGAGGGGCCAAGATAATTTCTATACAAAAATATTATAGGAACTGGTTCGTGAAATTGCCAGTAAGAAGGATTTTTAATTAATCTGTAAACTCATATACCGTATGATTGGAGAATTGCAGATGGAGTGCCTATCTTTAAGTGAGGGGAGTGACCTGATAAATCTTAGCCTGTTGGTATGATATGCAGGTAAAAAAAAAAAAAAACCCAAAGAAACATGCTAACCAAGGCAAACTTCATTAAGCCCACAAGCCGCTTATTTCCCATTCCTGATTTAGAGGGATAGGGCAGAGATACACCATAGAAAACTAAATTAAGCCTTATATTTACAGATAGAGAATTATTGTGGGTGGGAAAGTGACAGAAATATTTAATCTTATGAGAAGATTACAGGTTTAGCAATAGTTGAGATGTCCATTTCTAGGAAAAGATAAATTAGGAATTCTGACATCCCTGTGCTAAATGTTTACCGATATTGAATGACAGTCTAGTGTCTGCAGAGAGGTCAAGTTTCTAGTGCAGCTGCCTACATTGTATTTATTTTGTAGGTAAATAAATGGCTTCAGTTTTGAGTATTGTGAATTCAGCCTCATTTTCTATATTTGATTAAAGTAGCTTTTTAAATGGGATTTTATATCCCTACAGCAAATTAGTTAACCAAGATTCCATGTTAATCTATTATAAAAATTTAAATCCCTAACTTGATATGATTGATTTTATCAAAAAATATAAGTTGAATTTCTGAAAATATTTTTAGCTCATCAAGGTTGAAATGCTAAGCTTTGAATGACCATGTTTTGTAATTGAGCAAAATGAGTAGTATGAGTTTATAGATAGTAATAGCATTTTAATGGAATATATTTCGAACTTTTGTTTTAACAGGCTAATCCAGATCCTAACACATGCCTTGGAGTGTTTGGCCTCAGTTTATATACCACAGAGCGAGACCTGCGTGAAGTCTTTTCCCGTTATGGCCCTCTGAGTGGTGTCAATGTAGTCTATGATCAGCGGACTGGACGTTCAAGAGGATTCGCTTTTGTTTATTTTGAGAGAATAGACGATTCTAAAGAGGTAAATGCTTGTTTATGACTCTTGCCTATAGTTTACTCTTATTAAAATTCCTAATCTGTCTTTACAAGTATTTTTATAAACTGAAGAATTTAAATGTTGTGACTTGTAAATGCTGAGAATCAACGTTTTAAAAAGTATGTTGGCTAAATTAATGAAAAGTAATTATTAATATGGTATTTAAGCAATGGTATATGAGGTGCAAACATTATTGGACTTGATAGCTATCAAGTGCAGTCAGTATACATCCATTTACACAACTATAACTATCCACTAATGCAAGTCCTGTTTTTGTAATATATCTATGGAGGCAAAAGTAAATAAACTCTTAAGAGATATATTGATTTTTTTAAAAAACTTTATGGAAAGTTTTAAAACATCTGTCTTTAAATAGTCACTACTATTTTCCCTGAGTGGGCCCTATTAATTTCTTAAAATAATGAAAAATACCATTGCTTTCCCTTCTTAGTCTTGAACTTTGTCGCTCATTATTTTAAGAAACCAGATTTGAACAGCTTACTTTGACTTGTCAGTGTGCCATTAGTGTTCAGTGGGTTACTAATCAATTCAAAATATTTGATGCACTTTGCTCCCGGGACTAATCATTCTCTATCCATGATATGGTCAGTTGAGGAAGAAAGAATGGAATTCAAGAATCTAAATGAATTTTTTGCACAAGGGGTTCAGAACACTATAGAAAAATAGTGTCTATTTAAAAAAAAATTAGAAAGGTGTATTGTTACTTCCTAGATATCAAATTATATTGAAACTTCTATGGGCTCTGGCCACCTCAGTTGCAGATTCTGTATTTCTAGGATTTTTATAAACATTCTGTGAAAATAAAATAGATGCCACTTCAGCAATTTCAGTTTTACATCAGCAATTTCAGGTTTGCAGTCAATGATCCCTTCATTAAACTAATGCTTCTCACATGCAGGGATCTTCTCTCTGAGTAGCTACCAGATTGACTGCACTCTAGAGGCTGAGAAACAAAGTTTCCTATGCTAAGGTAGAAGGAAATTTAATTTAAAGAGGTAGGATGAGTTAGTGGTTATCATTGGACTGGGACTTAAGAGATGTGGTTCTACCACAGGTTTTTTGTGTAACCATGGATGAATAATTTGCAGGTTAACTTTTCTGACTGTAAAATGGGAATAATAGATTTAGGAGTTGCAGTAAAATGGGAAATACCTCATGGGTGTAGAACATCAGTTTATTAATGGTTTATTAAGAGCCCATGTGACAAGAATGGGAGATAGGAAGAAAGCTACCAAAGGCTGCAGCTTTTAGGAGAGAGGAAAGGAGAAACAGTCTTTTTCTTAAAGTTACAGTTCTTCACTCTTTTGTTCCACCATAACTTGAAACAATAGGATGTAAGGAGGTTGGCTTATATGGGGAAGCATACAGTTATTATAAGCACCTTACTCAGCACCCTGCCCCCGATCTCCAAAGTGAGCCCCAGTTTCTTGTTGTGGAACCTATGTTTGTACTTTCTTGTGGCCACAAATTTTTGTGGGATTTTGGATTGTAATGGCAAGTGTGACCAGTGATTGGCTTCTTTGTGGGAACAGTTCTTATCCGCAGTAGGGATGTGAATGAGTAGTCGACTAGTCAATTAACTGATTAGCCTAGGTTTGTCAGTTAATCTAGTCAACTAGTCTGGTTTCCCCACCCCGTGCTGGTGCTGGCCATGGACAGAGACTGCTCCGACAGCAGCCCCTGTCCAAGGGACGCTGGAACCTCCCCGCAGACAGGAGCTGCTGCTGGAGCTGCTTCCCCTGCCCCCTCCCAGCAACCTCTGTCTGAGGGGAGCTGTTTTTAAAACTGGCTCCCTTCACGGACCAGGTCCTACCTGCTATATCCCATGCCGCTGCTGCCTCTGATTCAGAGGAGGCAGGGGGGGGATCCAAGGGAGTAGGGCCAGAGCGCACTGGCTGCCAGCCCTGTCCCCGGGGACTATAGAATAGTAGACTAATCACTAAGAATTCATGCTGCTAGTCAGCTGTTCAATTAACTGATAGCTAACATCCCTAGTCCAGAGTACTAGATCATGCTCCCTCTTTTGGCACATTAAGCTGAAGTAACTGGAAGAAGAGCGCTATTTTGCATACCTTTAAGAATTACCCATAAAGTGATCCATGTAAATAGCTGAACTTTATATCATGTTCAATATGGAAATATGCTTTAGTTTATTAATTAGTCCAAAATAGACACGAGTCTCTTCGGATCATTTGTCAGATTCACAGGCATTCAGACATATCTGAAACTTCACTATGGCCAGGTCTGTGCTAGCGGAAGAAATAATTCTAGCTATTCTAAATAATTCTAGCTATGACAACTGCATAGCTGGAGTCGATATACCTTACACCAATTTGTCTAGGGTGGCCCCACAAACAGGAGGTTGATGAGAGAAACTCTTCTATCAACTTCCTTTATTCCTCGCAACTGCGAGAGTACCTCAGTAGACGTTCGATTTAGCGGGTCTTTTAGACCCGCTAAATTGAACCCTGGAAGATGATCACCCAAGCATTGAACTTCTGGTAAGTGGAGACGTGGTGTAAGTGTCATTTGAGTTTTAATGTGACCCTGGCAGAGCTGATTAGTTCATTGAGTTTTCAGTACCTATGTTTCTGCTGCTGCTTAACTGACTACAGTGATCCCACCTTAAGCAAAATTTAAGATATAAAAATTTCTAGCCCTCATGGTCAGGGCTCACCGAGCCGCAGCAAGCCCCACTCGCCAGCCGCTCTGTCCAGTGTTCTGTACATGCGCAGGTTGCCCGAACCCGGCTATTCCGGGATGTAATCTACTTGCCATGGGTGAGTAGATTACATAGATTGTCAAGCCCTGCTCATGGTTATGAAGACAACATGACATGAATGTAAATTTTTTAGTATAAAGTGTGTTGTCTTTCAAAGTGTGTGGGCAGAGTATATCTAGGAGCTGTGAATTATCCTCATGATTGATAGAATGTTAATTCTAGAACCTAATTATGATGGTTTGTCAGCCTTGTTAACTATTACACTGCTGACCACATTAGCAAAAACATCTGGATAGTATGCTTTTCTCAATCATAAATTGTTTCCCAGTTTCCAAAACACCCAGCTATCTCTTAACCATCTCCAGCTTCCACAGCGTGATTATGCATTTTCAGTACAAAATTCTGCAACAGATTAAAAACTGATATTTATGGTGCAATATTTAATTTTCATTAACGTGCATTTATTTAATTCAGTGAAATTCTTTAGTGTGAAGATGCTACAAAACTTCCAGTTTTCACCTGAGTGCTAAATTTCTATTACGGTAAAATGTAGGTCTATCCAGCATGTCATAGAACATAAAACTGTCATTTCTTCATACGCTACTCAGTTTCTCTCTAAGTAAAAACATCATAAGAGAATACAACCAAACTCAACATCACTTAATAGGCCCACTTATCATTGCTCCAAATGTCAAGACGTCAACTCCCACTTCTGGTTCATACCCACTTACTAGATTTTCAAACAAAGAGCCTTTGTACTTTCTCCCATGTTGCCCCTTACACTTGAGAGGAACTTCTTTTAGCCATGTGCAAAACAGCTTCATTGTTCCCTTTCAGATTCCTCCTCAAAATTCTTTTGCCATCATGCCCCCAAAAATACTTAATAGTTGGGCTACGGTCACTTGTAGCCAGTGAGGCTGGCCAATATTGTCTCATGGCTTCCTTGTACAACATGTTGTAAACTTCTGCTTCTTGTATAATTAGATGGCAAGCTCCTTGAGGCAGGAACTTCCTTTTTTGTTTTGTTTATGCTGCGCATGTTGCAGCGGGGTCTTGGTACATGACTGTGTCCCCACCCATGAAAAGTGGACAACCAGCTAACTAAAATCATTTTGGACGTTTCTGGACGAGAGAATTCTGGATCAGAGAGGTTCAGACTGTATCATTGAGTCAAAGGAGTCCTTGTCCAGTACCAGCAGTGCTGGAGCACCAAGGAGAAAGAGAGGTCCAATAGGGATTTGGTAGATTTTTACCAGTAAGAAGGCAAGCATAAACACTCAGAACTGGAAACATCAAGTTCAGCTCCAGCTGTCAGTGCCCATGCATTTGGCTCCCACAAGCAGCAGCATCACACCCACCATTGGATTTTATACCAATATTCTCACCATTGGCTTCATCTGCCATGTCATTACTGATCTGTTTGGTACCACAAGAATTAGGTTGATTTTGCCCTAGTATATCTTCTGATCCTCTGCTAGAAAAATTCTCCATATTTGCTCATATTCAACTTCCTTAACTCTTACCTGTGGTTCTTTATCAGAGCTCTTCCTTATTCCGAAAACATAAGTTGCCAGTGTTTTTTTTTCCAAATCTACATAGTTCCCTAAAGGATTTTTGTTTATGTATTCTGGATGTCAAAAGGGCATTGGCCTTCTATTTTGTTGGGACCAAACAATTTCCTTTGCAGACAGAGCCATCCATGTTGTTCTCAATCTCTATCACAGGCTATCAAGATTGATATCTCTAGATGTATTTGCCATTTGTTACAGTGCTGAGAGTGTTTATCCATTATCCCCACCCCAGAGGTAATAGCATTTTCAGCCAGATCACAGGCATCATCTACAGCATCACTGATTAATGTAGTATCTCAAATATTATATTGAAGCCCAGGTAACAGTTCTACATACATTTTCAAAATACAGTTGAGTCCCTATCATCCGACCTAAATGGGACCGATACATGATCAGATTACAGAATATGTCGGATGATACTGACTCTACTGTAGAGAGCAGCGTAACAGCTGATGCCGCTCCTGCGGGGGACGTCCCGGCAGCAGCACCGGCAGCTTCTCCTAGAGAGCAAGGGAACAGCTGATGCCGCTCCTGCCGGAGCCACTTCGTCCCCAGCACGAGCAGCAGCAGTTGCTACTAAAGAACAACGGGGCAGCAAGCGGGGCCGTTCTCCCTGCCCCGCGCTGTATCCAACTCTGCAGCTCCCGGGGACTTGCTGCAGTGTCGGATTA